GCAACAAACAAAAGTTTGAGTGGGTTGACAGTAAACAATTTTCTTTCAAGAATCTTCTTGGTCTGATTGCTAAGATCACGAAAATGAACCACTATGACCAAAACCGCAGGACTTGAATCAAGTGTGATGCTAGCCATAGCGGTCTGTGTGCCGCTCTTGAACAAGAAATTGAAGAGGAGGTTTGGGCACTGAATGCTTTTTACTGCGCAATTTTTAATCGACCAGGAAAAAAATCTGCAGCACGAACGAACTGGAATTACATGCCATCGTCTGGTCCTGCGAACACTTTCGCAATTGTTCACTAGGAAATCACTTTGAATTACTCTTTATTATCGGCTCAAAAAACAAATCGGGGAAAAAAACCTTACCAATCTTGTTTAACACGTTGAGCAGATCGCTTCATACCATACGATTTCAAGGTCGTCCACATTTCGGGTTGTAAGTTGGGATTAAAGGACTACCTATCCTGTTTTCCCAATTTCGAGGCACCTTCATCGAGTAAATTTGACGAACAATACGAGGTAAAATGTATGAGAAATTCCTGTGACGCGTGTGGTTTACTGGATGTTTGTGTCATAAATCTATCAACCAAAAGAAATTCATCCTTTAGCTAAAGTACTCGCAATTCTGTTCGTAGCTTTCTTTGATTCGTAGCTTTCCCTCAAACTAGCTTTCCCTGATAATTGTAGCTCTATATCGATCGCCTCTTCAGTCAATTGTTTATCCAGTAACCGTTACAGCACTTGCTGGAACAATATGCCCTGTTTTGCAGATTCGGGCCAATCAGGTGCCAGCATTCATACTGGATCTAAGTCGCTAGAGGGCGTCAACTGTCATGTCATTCTTACGAACCGTTAATATGCTCGTTTAAATTTCTCATCACCGCGAGACGGCTACCATTCGAACGACAGTCATTTCGACCAATCAGAGAAGAGATGTATACAAGCCAATTTACCGCGAGGGGTTAGCCCAACTTATTCACCAAGTCTCTTCCAATTAGATCGCAGCATAGCTAATTTATGCATAACTGCCTCTTTCTCAGCATGTTTCTGAAATTTGCTACCATTTCATCACATCTTCATCACGCTCTCAGTCTCAGTTCTGATTTCCATGTTTTTTAGCTGATTTCGCCCTGTATTTTGCTACACTTGGAGTTTGCGGCATCTATTTCATTATTTTTCTGTTTTTTTTTCAGAGCAAAAGGGATCAGCCTAATAAAAGAGACGATAGCTTTGAACGACTATCCAATCAGTTCGTTCCTTTGAAGAAATCTTGGCTCACGGTGAACAGATTGCGTCATTCAGCAAGCTCAGGGGCAAATCGTCCGCCGCCGAAGTCTTGGCAATTTCGTTCACGCCGACTAAGAGCTGGAAAGAATAGCACAGATCGTCATCAACAGGAATAGGTTCTCAAGTTGGGCTGCTTGAATATTTCAATCGTCGCCCTGGATTGGAAATCGTTGTCTGTTTTAGTGGGAATCCTTGATGCTGTAGTCATAGCGGTGCTCACAGACCAAGGACTTAGCTTTTGCTTGATGAAACGGGCTTTGATTAACAACGAATATGAATGATTTAGTCGGATAGATGCGTATCTCAACTCTCTCTGGCAGTGTTCGTCCGTGATTGATGGTTGCATTGTAGTGAATAATCGATAAGCTATTCTGAACGTTTTGCAGAAGGCGATCTTGGCCCGGCTCCATAGACCCCACGCAGGACTATTGGCGATGGTCGATGCGGCGCAACACATTTGGTAGCCCAGTCTGAATTAATATATCGTACAAATGTTCAAAGATTGTTCTCATTGTACCAAACTCGGTAAGAACCTCAAGACCAATATCTCATTCAATTCTTCACAGCCTCCCCCTACACTACAAGGTCCGCATGAGGAGATCCAGTTAGATTATTCTGGTCTTCTAAAAGACCAATTAGGTAATCAAATGTACATTGTGGTAGCAATCGACCAGTATTCTAAATACGCATCAGCCATGCTTACACGTTCGATTGGGGGTTGGAAAATTATCATTTTTCTGTAATCTTTTGTTCATCAACATTGCATTCCTAAGTCAATCAAAACAGACTAATACTCTGGGTTTAAAAAGAATCTGGTCAAGTCATTCAGCAAAGAAAAAAATATCCGCCAACAATTCAGCCCTGTTGGAGATCACGGGGCTGTGGTCTGGTGGAAAGTTCAATCCAGCTCATCAAACGTAGAATGGGGGCAATTGAATTAAGCCCGGACTTTATAGTATTCAGGATAATCTTCTCTCTTTTTGGGGTACAATTCGGTAGGAAACCTAACGGAATTATCAGTCGCCGCTGAACACCTATGATCGCGTGTTAATTTACATAATCAGCAACTGGAACCGGAACCGCCTCTCGGCAGAGGGAGCCATGTGACAGTCGAAGGCATGGTGTAATACAGCCCATCGGTGTCCCTGTATTTTGGGGGTCATCTACTTCAGTTGTCAAAACTACTCAGTAAAAGGCCTTAGTGAATCTGGCCAAGAAGGCAAATCAGTGCTTGGCTCTTAAGAAGACAATATCTCATGATGAATGACTTCGCACACTCAAAACCCTGACTGAAAGGAACCAAATATTAGCCGCTACTCTAAGATTGAATCTGTGAGCCTGAACCCTCAGGTTCAGATGCCAGCCGAACCATTACAGATGTCGAGTTACAAACATAATTTGCATAGTCTAATTCTTCATAATCCGGAAAAAGCCGCGATATTCCGCAAAATTCTAGTCAGAAAATTGGGACGGGAACTATTCAAACCTTTCAAGGGTCAACTTATTCGTATTACTGGGAAAACGGATATCACTGATAAGGTTGTTCGGAAAAACTATATTGCGGTCCGCTTCAAATCACATAAATCAGACTTTTCGGGCAGCACGCCTCACTGGCCAAAAAGGAGCGGAAACGCCCGGAAGTGACAACTCGAACCACTAGCTTTTTCTCTTCCTCTCTTGACGACAACTGGCCTCTTCGTCCGTCTAGTTCCGGGACACGAATTGCAACCAAAACAGTTTTTCTATCCATTCGCACAAACCCAGCCGCTCATCAAACTGCCTACACCCAAATCAGGAAAAAAAGATGAAGAAAGGACCAGTGGAAGCCCCCCGGACGCTCCGGGCATCAGACCCGATCAAGGCAGCTCGCAACAACCACTAGCCGACTTGACAATTTCTTCATAGATTTCTGGGAATCTTCTGGACACGTCACAAGCTCCGATGCCTTTGCCTTTGAAGGCTTCGTTATTGACTTGCCCAGACCTTACACCCATTCTTTAAACGACAAAACGCAATCGTCTAAATCTCAAGTTCTTCCAACCTCTTCAGCTGCTTCTCCGCCGACTAAATCGGCAAGTAGCCTTCCCATAGGTGGATCAGACGGTGAAGAGACCCATTCTTCGGCGTCGAATTCATCACGCACTTCTTCCCGTAGAAAAAGCACAATCTATTTTCCGGCAGCCTGATTTGCCGTTCAGTAAACATCGTCAGTTCTCCACTAGCTCAGCCACAAGTTTCCAGACCAGATGTAAGCTCTCCAGATAAAAGAGTACGCTTTGTGCAGGCCAGTCCCGCGGAACAAGTTTCGCGTGACCACTCTCGAATCAGTTCGCCTCATCCTTCACAGGGATATTTGAGGAAATTCACCCACTTCCCTCAGTCCTCTTCAGAAAACCCTTTACGCCGAAGTGAAAAATAGATCAAATATCGGAAACGTTCACCGTCATAAACGCAGTCTATCTTTCAAAACTTAGTACTTTTTTTCTTTCAAATTCATTTTTGCGCTCAATTTCATTCCACTCATACTGCGCTCAAAAATTTTCTCCTAGTGCGGGAAACGTGGTATAGTGAGATTTCTATATATACCATTACGTCATTTCTTTCGTATTTAAATTGTTTCATTCTAGAAACCAAGGTCGTTGACGACCTGCCATACCGCTACTGAAGTTGGTGCTATTATTTTCTCTCACTCTCTAGCATCTTACAAAAGGTTTAAGTTGATTCTAGGATTCAATTTGTCATGACATTCATTATATTCCTGTCTTACTTATATCTATTACACAAGATGAGTTAAAGTCTTGATCTTAATTTTATTTAAGTTCCTTGAGATACCACACCTGAAAAGGAATTAAACAAAAAATCATAACAAAATTTAAAAGTCTTCACTACGTTCATTGATACTTAAACACAATTTGAGAACACTGGATCACTAGACATTATCAATTTCACAAACAATTTAACGCGTTTTTTCAAACTCATTCATTGCCATTGCTCACATTTTTACGTTTCCTGTCGGAGATTCCAATAATAGCTCCAATTGAAAGTTGAATTCGGAAAGTGCGCTGAAATAGTATCAAAGCCAACCGCCCAGGGTCGGACGCCCTCTCCCCCTCAGTGATTTTACCCCCTCACCGAATAACGGGTCTCTCTTTGGTATCATTTTGACATCCATTTTCGGCCAATCAAAGCTTAAACTTTTCTAAGGGAGCATTTGGCGCCAATATATACTCATTTTCAGGGGAGTGCTGCGAAAAAACGCGATTTTTTTGTCAAAACTTTCCAAAAAGTGCCCCAAAAGGGCATTTTTCAATTCAAAAATTTGCGTGCGGCGCAGAAACTTTGACAAAATAGGGGTTTTTATGGTCCTGGGAGCGCTCAGAAAGTCAAATTGATCAATCTAAAAAAAGGTCGACAAAGTTTTCGAAACTCCTCGAGAAATTCCTAGATCCGCCCCACCAACAGCCATTTAGAAAAATTATTCGGAAACAAAACCTTTGGCAAGATTAAGTACAATCAATTATTGGCATTTTTTTGACAAAACCAACCCAATTAGAGTCAATGTAAATCAATGTGTTAATTTTTAAAAAGGTCCTGTTTTTTTTTCTTCAAATTTTACTTTCAGGGAAAGTTTAGAAGTTTCACTTCGTTCATTGACACTCAGAATAATCCTGCATTGTGTTCATAATCACTCAAAAATGATAGCAAAAAGACTAAGACTCAAAAATTAATTCTTTACAGGGTATTAATTTTCATCTGTGCATAACCGAAGTCCAGCTGGGGCATCATATAATAGCAACTGGGAAATTCATCATCAATTAGTGATATAATACATCTAACTAAAAATTTGTCTAGTGATCAACAATTAGGGAATGATATCAATTTAAGTTTTTTCAATCTCTCAAGTTTTGTAGGGTATTAGGTAGGAAACTGTTAGGAAATAAGAAAAGTTGGATTGAAATAAGAAACTTTCAGCCTTCTGTTTGGATGAGATGTTTGATTATGTCTTCTGCGTATTTGAGTTGACACCATTCTGGTAGATTCAAATTGTCGAGGTCATCGTCGAAATACGCGGGCGCTAAACCGTCGTCCACAATGCTGAAATATACTCAAGTTATAGATACAGTTAGATACGTTATCAAGGCTTTTCAGAATACATTCAATCACTGCCCGTTGATCTGAATTCAGCTGTTTTCTGGCAGGAATTTTGCAATTTTTTCTTGATAGTTTCGAAACCGACACTTTTTACGTTCTGTTTCAAATATCGGCATACTGAAAGTTAGATTCTTTTCATTCGTAAACTAAAAGATGTGAAATATTTTGAAGACAAGAATTTTTAACATAAGAATTGCTCTAAAAATGGAAAACTTACTGAAAATTTGGATTCATCAGATCAGGTTCGTCCAAATTCAGCACAATCAGCTCATTCAAGTAAGTCAACAGCACATATTTCTTCGGCGCAGGCAGCTTGTCCAGCGCCTGTTTCTGCTCCGAGTTGAGAGTTTCTCTGAACTGTTGTTGGATCCCGGCGTATGGTTCTTCGTCCTGATGCTCCAGCATCAGTCTGGTTCTCTGAAGTGCCAGTGCTTGCCAGAGGAACACACAGGACTCAAGTTTGATGTCACTGATTCCTAAACAATGTATATATGTTTTATAACTGACTGTAAATTTAAATCACATTGAAAGTTGTATTATGCTTTCTGTGTCCTGTTTCTTTCTTCAAACAAACTTCACTTGGTAATGAAAAGTTTGCGAACTGTTCGATTCCAACTGAGAGATACCAACAACCCGAACTCGGAATCAAATACAGAAGCCAAACATCAAATTCAAAAATCCCGGAATTAAATTACCTGCGCTATTAAAAACATTAGGAGGCGATTTCTGAAATCCCAAAAGCAACCGAGCTTTCGAAAAATTCCTTTCCACAGGAACTTAGCTAAGAAAAATAAGCAGACAAGCTAAAGTCTAAATTAGCCAACAATTTTCAGTTTCAAAAAATTACACTGGAATCGAAAAACATTATAACATCTTTTTGTTTTGAGTTATTGAAAAGACCATATGAAACGTTGAACTTGACATTTTGTAAAAAAAAAACAAATCAATTAATCTCAACTAAAAATATAGCCAATAGACAATTTGAAAAGAGTCAATGAACGCAATGAAACAGACAAAACTGAATTGGGTTTTGAAAAAAACTTCAACTGTACAACTTCGCGTAAAAATATATGGCTATACAGCTCTTTGAAATTCCAGAACAATTTATGGCTGACATTTTTATTGCTGAAACTAACTCAGTTTAAGAAAACGGGATCAATAGATACATAAAAGTTTATTCCGCTGGTAAATTTGAAGATTAAATTCCACTTTCAAAACTAGAAATCGATCACCTTTTTCGTGACTTTTACACTTTCGTAATTGTAGAGCAGATGAAAATAAATTGAATTCAAATAGTGGATATTAAATCTAGAAGCATTAACATGTACACAGAGTCTAAGCGGAGCAAAAATATTTGAAGTTGAAAAACTTAATTAAAATTTCTGAAAAAAAAAGTTGAGAAAATATCTTATAAAAATAACTTGAAAAGTTGAAAAATAGACAGCTACAAAAACTTCATGGTTGTATAGAAAGAAATTCATACACAGTCTCAAGAAAATTGGAAATCGATTACCAAGCGTCAACAAATTTTTGGTCGCAACCTGTTTGAGCCGAAAACAAACTGTTGTCATAAAAAACTTCATTGAGTTTTTAAAACTTTTACGACTCATCCAATCTGAAGCACATAATCGCATGCGAATATATTTGCCCTCGAAATTAAGCAATAAAGGCTGACTGAGCCGATACTAATGGATCATAAACTGAAACTGTTGAAATGTTTAACGAAAAAAGCAAAAAAAAATAATCTACAATCAGACTTTCATTTGTACAAAAAAATGTGTAAATTTGAATAAAACACATGCTCTAGAAAGAAAGCCAATAAAAAGCCTCTATCACTTAAAAAAAATTGGCGTTGGAAAAAACGGAAAATGAACCAACAGAAACTAGGACGAAAACCACTAACCCAAAATAAAATGGAAAATTTCTTGAAAAAATAATTACAACCTGAAAACATTTACAGCTTTACCTAATTACGACTTGAAATATAGCAGTTTTATTTAAAATTTCAAGAAATTGAGCATTTCAAAAGACGAAGGAGTCCAGGAGATATGAAACCAGTCCTGTGAACAAAGTTGTTTAGGGGGAAAAAGTCTAGTTCCCGATTGCAATACCCTTGCTTATCGCAAGGGTAATGAAAGCCCTTCTGTAAAATATTAGCATTTGAAAACTTTTCCTGATAAAAAAACAATTATCACGACCTATATAAGAGTCTAAACCTCATTCAACGACTCTTAAAAACGGAATCATGCGCCGATTGAAGTAACGAACTGTCAATAAGAAGCACGACTGAAATGGCTTTAATATAAGACATCACTGGCAGGGCATATCAAAATACTATTGCTATTGCAATATGTATATTGCAATATTCTATTTTGAACAATTATCATAAGCAATATATTGATATTTATCCTGCAATATATTGCAATATTTTGCAATACTTAAATTGATTAATAAAGCAGCGTTTAGGTTAAATGCACGTAATTTTCCGGCCATTTATAATGATTATCGGAAAAGTATGCTGCCTGCTAATCTGCAAATGCAACTTTTTCTTCATTACAATCAGAAATTTTGGGACATTAATACCGTGAAAGAATGTATTGACAAAAATAATTTTGAATAGTTGTTTCCAATTCATTGTTTCTTGCATTTTTCTTCTCGGAAGTATTGCAATATTATATTGTAAATGTGAAAAAAAACAATATTTTATTGCCAAAAAATTCGGAAAGCAATAATATTGCAATAGTATTTTGATATGCCCTGATCACTGGACACATTCCTATGATTATTTGCGGTTAACGAACCCGAGCCTCCAGAGTAACAACGAGTAGTCTTAACCACGGCTCCTTGTCCTGTACGCATGCTTCAATCTCAGATTTGAGGCATTAAATAATTTTCCAGTTTGTTTAATTAAATATAATTTGTTAATCGCCAAAAGTGTCATTTACTATATAAATTTCCAATTTTTATTTGAAAACTAATTTCAAACATTTTGCGCAAGTATTCAGAGATGGATTCAAATAAAATTGTAAGCTACTTTTGTTCTCGTCCCTTCTTGTCTAATTAAAACGCAACTTAAGAAAAACGGGTTGAGCGAAATGGGTTGGATTAAATGGACAATTTTGACTGGAAAACAAAGTGAACTGACCGTATAAAGCACTACACTCACAATCTCGCAGGTGTAAATGCATTAACAGAGCTCCTTAAAATATCGCTATTGATTTCGGGATGTAATATTTTGCCGTTTTTCTGTCGACACATCAGTCGTCATTTACGCGTTATTGAGGTAAAATTAATTTATTATCCAAATTGAGTTGACTGTTCGATGTTTACCTGGCATAGCGTCTATGCTGATTTTTTGGAGGAACTCGCCGATGGGCTGTTTGGGGTCATCCTTCCTATCCTTCTCCATGTATTTCATCAGGAGTATCAACTGTCGCAACATCTTGCACACCTCAGGCATGTCTGTGAACTTCTTCTGTATCTTCTTAGCCTCACTTTTTGACAGCTTCTATAAATGAAAACACATCCCTCAGCTCCCCAAAATAAAAATTTGATGAAAACATTTTTTCATTGATTTAAGTGGTAAGAAAACGTATAAGCTATCATAAAAAAAACTATTTTTGACCACGGAGGTAAATATGACTTCGATTCGCCGTGAATTTAAGAAAAAAAACAATGAATTACCTCTTCGAAATCGATGCAGTTCCTTGCATTGTTCAGAGCGTCTTTTGTGCTCGATGATTTTGTCATCAGCTTCATAATCTAAAAATTGAAAACAATTCACATATACAGTAAAGTAGGATTTCCCGACAGTTATAATACCCCTCAACTTACCTTTGCTGTAATTTAGTGCCCTGTCCCTGCGAGATGATCTTTTCAATCGTAACTCATTTTACTTATGCTTCAACACGATCACAAGAAAATGAAACAGAACCAACAGACAGTTGGAAAAGCATCAATGAACGCAAGTAAACAGAAAAACACTTTTGAATTTCAAAAAGAAAAAAATAGACGGCCTTAAAAGCACTTCGAACTTCAAGAACAATTTATGATTGCCCATTTTTTATAGAAGCAACCCAATTTGAGAAAACTGGATCGATAGAAAAAAAATTTATTTCGTTGGAAAATCTGAAAATTAAATTCCACTTTCGAAATTAGACGTCGATCACGTTTTTCGTGACCTTTACATTTTTGCTGTTCGATAGTGGAGTTTGAATTCCTTTTAACAAAGGAAATGAACTAAACTTAAAAAGAAACTAAAAGTCCAAATTTGAGCCTGATTTTTCCTAAAAGTAAAAACGAAAAAGACCTATATAGGTGTCTGAACTACGTTCATCGAATCCTAAACTCAAACAAAGAACCTAAAACCAAACAAAGCCAAAAGGAACGTCTACCGATTCTGATTGGAAACTTTTCATCATTCAGTCCACGGGCGGATTTAGGAGGGGGGGGGGGGGTCGCCTTCCTCAGGGATTTGACCCCTACCGACCCAAAGGGTCCCCTTTGTACTATTTTGAGATATCCATTTTGGCGACGGACCCTAAAATTTTTCTAAAGACGCCAATATATACTAATTTTGAGAGGGAGCGCGCGCCAAAAAAACGCGATTTTAAAAGGCACCTAAATACGCCTTTTTTGGCCTGGTTTTCAATATTTTTCCTGCGGCGCAGAAAATTTGACCAAAACAGGGTATTTTTAGTTATTTGGGAGAGCTCTGAAATCAATTTGGTCGACCTAAAAAAAGGTCAGCAAAATTTTTCAAAAACTTTTTTGGACTGTTTTTTCAAAATTTTGCCTGCGGCGCAGAAAATCTGGCCAAAACAGGGACTAAACAGTGCTTAGGGAGAGCTCAAAAAATCAATTCGGTTCACCTAAAAAAAAGGTAGACAAAATTTTCGAATTTTTTTTTGAAAATCCGCCCCCCCCCCCCCCCTCGAGAAAATCCTAGGTCCGCCCCTGGACAGTCTATCTCTTCGTTCTTCAACACTTAAAAACTGAATTTTGAAATCCATGCAGCACGGGAGTATATGCTCGCTTAAAAAAATGGACATTCTTCTGCTACTATACAATACCAACCTCGTTTCGTTCAGTATGACTACTATAATAATTAATTGTTTTCAGGCAGAAAATATACAGATGCTCACTTCAACTAAGTTTAGTACTGCTTGGGAGAACACCAATGGATCAACGGATCTTTTTGAGGTGTCTCTGAGGTCCGTTTTCAAGATTAAAAGATGAAACCACATGGGTTAATTTGTAGTAACAATGGAAGCCGAATTTTTAGAGCATGCTAAATGAATGGATATTTACCTTCATGCTGATGAGGGGCTTGAACTTGAACAGGTGGTGTCCAATGGTTCCTTCTATCCCACTCAGATCATAGTGCACTCTCTCTGCCTGTGCATCCGTGGTGGCGAAGTTCGCAATCACCGACAGCAACTCTCGGTCGACATTGGAAACCGAAACGACGTGTTCACTCTTCACAACTCCATTATTCAATTCCATGGCACTAAACCACAGTACACATGATGGGAACTATTTTATATAGAAGTTAGAAGTGTATGAAACACTCAGCTTACTCAAAAGAACAATGCCACAAGCATGTCTAAAAGAATCATGCAATATGAATTTCTCTAAATTGTTCTTTTCTTTTATTTTGCATGTTATGGACCTTTGACATTATCTGTTTCAAAGTTAACCGATCAACTTCTAACCAACACACAATTACAGAAATATTCCTTGGAGGGACTCTTGATGCGTAATCAAGGCTCTTTGAGCAGGAACCCAGGATATGTGAAACATGAAAGCCAAAGTTGAGATTAGTTCCAGTTCGTAGATCACTTTTAATGCATCTATATTGTCATATGCATAATTTGCACAAAAATTTGGACAGAATCTCTGAAAATCTTTTCTTTTGAAAAATTTATCTGTAATTAAATTATTAAGCATACTAACGGGGTTTCAATGTGAAGAGCCGATCTATACGCTTCAATGAACTCGTTGTTTTTGTTCACCAAGATATTCAAAGTGACCAGAGCACAGCAGTCGCTCACGTGACGAGAAGGAAGGAAGTACTTCAGAGAAGAGTCCAGTTTCAGTTTTTCTTTAAAAAGGCAGTCGATGCCTCCGGTTGTTGGCATATGTCTTATTTGTTCATTCCATAATTTGCAGAAAACTATAGAGACCTCTCTCATTTTTCTTCTCACTGGTTCGGGGATTTTTCGCTGACCCAGGAAACTGTCCAGCGTCAATACGCTATGCAAGGTGTCCGGATCATAGTATGATACAATGTTATTGAAAAACTCAAACAAATCAGGAACATGGCGGAGTTTTGGCAGCCATTCTTTGTTCTTGAATATGCAATCAAGCAACTTGTATTTTTCACCATTCGCATTCAATTCGTTCCGCACGCTCGCCAAGCTGACCTTTGGGAGTCTTCGCCAAAATGTTCTGCTAGCCATAACATTATCATCAGTGCCTCTATCTGTTCTTTCAGTTAACACTTCAAGAAGGTTGTTGGATTCGTTTCTCGAATCATTTTTGAACGCATCATCATAAGTAGCAATGACATTAGGCAATTTTTGCAGCGTGTTGTTGATGATGTTTATGAAATTCGCTTCCCATGTTTCGCGCTGATCCTCATTTGCAAAAGATCCCTGAATGTTTCTACTCGTAGAAGAATCTATCACAACAGTCAAGAAGAACTTCAAAGCATCTTCTTCACTTCTGTTGAGAGAAGTCCTGGCTAAGTTTCGCACATTTGTGCGCAATCTTGCCAGCATTTCTTGATCACCGTTACAGATGTACAATGTGGCGTGAACAAAAAATTGCATCACATTTCCATTAAACTCATTAAGAAAAGCTCTGTCGAAGACGTTCAAATTGTGGTTATGTACATAGCCAGTGACTACCTGACCGTTTGCGACGTTGATATTGGCATCGCGGTTTCCCAACAATTGATTACCGGCATTGAAGGCGTTATGAGCCCTTCCTCCAATAGGGGCTCGGCATTCTGGACAGGTGCCACCTTGATTAGGAGCTCCACAATCACCAATCATGTAAAGATGGCCATTTGCACATTGGTTCCAAGTAGTGAAGCCTTGTCCAATTGCTTGCCCCATCATTCTAGCACGTCTAGTTCCACTATCTGGAAACGTCGGTAAGTAAAGTCCATCTGCTCTTCCACGTGCAATGAAGATGCCCTTGAACGGTTGCAAGAACCCGCAGTTTTCTTCGACCTCCAAAAATGTCTGATAATAAAACAAAAAGTGCCTCAAAGCGTCCATGTTTGGGGCGAGTCTATCATTTCTATCTATCATACTTCTACTTAAACCTTGTATTACTGTACTTGTCATAATCGCTTCCTCAAACTGTGCAAAGCTCTCTGGTCGATTTTCTTTCGACCTTATTTCTGCGAGTAAGCGGTAGGCCACTATGTTTTTCATCTGTAGGTCCCTAACTTGAATAAGCCTTTGAAGACCTTCGTTAGCATCGGTGACCAAACTAGTATATACTTCGCTGAAAGGCGTCTGATATGCCTCTCTAAAAATGAGGAAAATATCTGAAAATCCTTGGCTCTGTGAAGTGAGCAAAATTTGGGGGATCAGGGGAGCAAGTTGCGGGAATGTCTTCACACGCTGGTACACGTCCATTCCATGATCACGGCATAAACACTGAATGAAGTATCGCTTAACGCATTCGGCGATTTCTCGTGTATCATTTAAAATTTCTGTAACCAATCTAGGAACTTGGTCTGTGAATCCTTGGGGTCCTTTATAAGCATTGGGTACAACTGATTTGACGATAAACTCTGATAGTGCAATTTTTACCTTAGCGACTAATCGGACTTGATTAACGCTAGAAATCTCTTCGCGATTAAGATCATCTGTAACCTGAAGACTTTCATTGAGGTAAACGTACTCAAAAACTGAAAGAAGCATATCGTATGTTCGGCCTAGATCAATTTCATTGGCACCTGTTTCCTTGTCCTCGTTTATAATCGCCATTAGAATTTCGTCCAAATTTTCACCTTTTTCACTAGTCGCAATAAATGTCAGAAGACCTTGTCTGGTCTGATCCGTGATCCAAGCCGTGTCTTTTTTGCTGGTTCTACTCTTAGGAGCAACGCAAATTTCCAAGTACTTTTTGAGCGTCTCTTCCTCGCAAATTGCGATCACGTTTTCTTTGACGATTCCAAGAAATACATTGGAAATATTCAGCCAAAACTGTTTCCAATGCAATTTTTGAGGCTCCGTTTGACACGAAAACATTGTACTCGCCTGTAACAACTCAGAATCAAGGCTCTGTTGGCAGAAACTGCACGTGACCGTTTCGCCTTGAGTAATATTTTCCATTTTCTCAGTCAAGCATGACTCATGCACTGCGTGACCTCCAGCGCATAGAAGTGAGAAAGGGATTGCTCCTTTAGCAGTTACTGGTTTTCTGCAAAAGGCACAGTCTTTGAGACCAGTTTCTGTCTCGACGCATTGTTGAATAACTGTGTCCGCGGATCGATTCAAGCAAAAGAGCAATCGACTTCGAAAATTATCGGTTCCGAAAATTGATTCATCTGCAGTTTTTGAACTCACAGCTTTATAGAGCGTATCGGATGCTGTACATGCCATTTTAGCAGTTGCATCGTCAAGATTGTGCGAAATCTGTGACATATAGGTTGAAAGCATTGTTAATTTCTTGAGTTTGAATTTATCATCGTCGAGTTCAATTCCAGAGCACATTTTCAAAACGGACACTTGTTGGTCTAGCTCTTGGATCGCATGACGATCAATGTTGGCCGGCTTCAATTTTTCAGCCATCGATTTAGTTTGTTCTAGAGCTGCTTGAGTTATCATGGAAACGAACTGCTCGGGGGTTTCCGGATTTCCAATTTTGAATGATCCGAAATACTTCAGGATTGGGGATATGTTGTGCAGACAAGGCAAAAGCTTCTTGAAGTGCGCAAAAGCAAAAGCTACTGTAGGGTTTTCGAATTCGGGCAAGTTACTCTTCATGATTGATTTTAGTGCCTTTTTGATCACTTTCACATGTTCGGCTTGAACACATTTGTTGTTCCACATTGACCAAAACTCGTTCAAGATCAAGTCGTGAACAAATGAATCGACTGCATCTTCTTCGCTTGAAATCTCAGTTAACTCATTTCCAAGTTCCCTTCCCTGATTATTAAACCTCTCCACGAAAAACTGCCAATCTTCGAGCTCAGAATCGGCATAATTTTCCAGCGAATCAATCCACATTGAGTTCAATTTGTCAATAATTTCAGAACTGAACGGAAACCGAGAATTAAATTTGACTTCTTTCGGGTTTTGCGGTCTGAGTCGACATAATTCTTTCACGGTAAAAAGTTTCATCCAGGCTTCTTTCCTCCAATTTGCTTCAAATAACAGTTTAATGTTGTTGTTAAAGTCGATCAGCTTCAGGAAATCCGCCAAATGAGGTTTTATCTTCGCTTGGAGTTCTTTGAACAAGGCGTTCTCAATTGTTCCTGCCACGATCAAATCTTGCAAATTAGCCGCTTTCTGTGCGACCCACTCTTTAATTTGTTCATTTTCTTCTGATTCCTCGATGAAAGCACTCGCTTTTTCCAGGAAAATTATTTCCAAACTTGGAACATGATGTTGCTCAAACAATCGTGAAACATTGATTACTCTTTGAACTTTATCACCTTCGTTCGCATCGCCAATCGCGTCGTATACAACCTCACATAGCAACTTTTTCTGGAATTTAGTGCACTCTCCGTTTTCAAGGACAAACAGATCTTTCAATGTCTGACCTTGAGAGATAGCAACCTCGGACAGAACTTGATATTCTTCGTCTCTTAGGAGCTCATCGATGTGGAAACTCTCCCACTTGCCAACCGAGAAGCTACTGTAGTCTGACTCGTACCAATTCCTCGGGAGCTCAACTATGAACAAAGTGTACAAGTTTGGAATCTTGCAATCAGTATGCAAATTCTGCAATTTGTATTTTGCTGACGCAATTAGCGGGACAAACTTTTGACCTCTTGAGCATGTGACAAAGAGTATTTTTGTCAAATTAGGATGCTTAGCCGCCATTCGGTAAAAGTCTTTCACTCTTTCGGCGAACTCGATTTCAGTTTTGAATACATTCAAATTAATCACGAAATGTCTCTCCGCTGACACTAGCGTCTGCTCTTTTTGCATCAGAGTCAAATTACAGTCTTTCATGTTTTTGGACGATGGAATTCGGCAAAATGTTGAAACTTCGATCAAGGCGGATTTGGATTTCTTGTTGTAGCATTGCTGCCACAAGAAGTCAGACAAACTATTGCGTCCTTGACTGCTGTAAATTTCTTTCAGGTCATGTGAGTTGAAAGATGAGACGTCGGAGCTAGATCGAATAATAGCATCAATCGAGCACGTTTGAACCAGTTTAAGACTGGCTGCTTCCAGAATTTGTTCATTCGTCGCCTGGTCAGAGATGTCATTTTCGGCCTGGATTAAAACACAGGCTGTCGTGTCTTTTTGGTAACCCACAAAGGCGTCGCGGACATGGAATGACGAGCCTTCTTTGTCGGTTCTCGGAACATCCGAAAACTCCTCCAAGTTTTCAGATAGTTTTTGACGTAACTCAACCAATTTTGTGCTGAGTATTGATTCCATTCCCAGGAAGTGTTTTTCCAGACGGTTCAAAAGTGGAATAGGGAAAGTTATGGCAATTTTTTCTTCTTCAATCATAATGAGCCGGAAGTTCTCAGAGACACTACACTTGACACGATTGGAGCCTAAGCCAAGATCAACGTATCTTTTCCCTCCGTAATACACATAATACTGGTTCAAAGCATCGTATAGGGACTCGTAAAGCGATCCCAAATTCAGAAGCACAACCGTCTTTCCTGTTTCCATGCAAACTTTTATTCTGTTGATGTTCTTGCATACTTGAATATACTCTTGATCCTGGGGGAACGATGAGCCAAAAATGACTTCGTAGTCTTCTATTTTCAAGACCTGAGGCAGCAGTTGTAGTGCCGAAAAATTCTCCGTCATCAGTAGCAGGTATCGACTTTCGTTGTCTAAGTTTCTCTCTTCTTCAGTCAGTTTTGATCGTTCTTCCGCCTCTCTGATGTTCTGATGAACCAAATCCAAAGTTTCAACAACATCGCCTACATTTGTATCTTCAAATGCTCGTTTTTTCATCAATTCATCCGCAAATACCTGCAAATATCGGCAGTTCTTCTCTCCAAAATTTCGTCTAATTGCACATCGAACATTCGTCCACCTTAGAGTTCTCAGGGGTTGAGTCATCTGCGCCCTGTAGAGCATTTTCAACAATCCATAGAAATCTCGCAACCCAAAGTATTCCGCGTGTCCATCTTTAATTTGAGCTTTGTACACTTCTTCGTAAGCGTCGGCCAACGGCTGAATGAACTTTTCCAGAAGTTTACCTTCAGCTTCTACTCTGCATATACCCCTCGCACTTTTGACCAGCTCCTCTGATTTCGGAATAGTTCGACTGACTAAAATTCCCCGGTTCATTTTGGCTGGATCAAGGGCCCAATTCGAAATCCCCACGAAGCCTACTTTTCCCCAGTCTTGCTTCTCTGCTTTGGATTCGACGTACCCCTCCTCCAAAAGAGGATGCAAGGTCTTCAGCGGCATTTTGGCCGAATCTTCCGCCAAGCCGATTTCGTCCAGAACAACCACGCTAACAAACTGCTTCAAATTCTTGCCTTTCTGGTATAGTGCTGCTTGCTTAAAGATACTGATGATACCATCTGCGTGCGTGTGAGGTGAACACTGAAATGAGAGCATCTGAACTTGTTTCAGCATCTGAAAGAACTCATTCCTGGAACTCTCTCCTTGCATAGCATCAATGACAATCGTCTTAGCCAATGATTTCGAGCTGCCCGGTTTCCCCACTAGGAACAATGGGATTCTTAGCTCGATGCAAATTATCATCATGAATACATTTTCGGTCAAAGCCAGATTCTTGGCAATGTTTGCTTTAGCATCTAGATGAATGTTTTGTAAAAACACTTGCATGCAAATTTCCAGTTCGTTCAAAATAGTTTTGGCTCCATTGGGTAATTTATAGGGACCTCTGAAAGACCCGGTGATATTCCTTCTATACTTCTCTCGTTCCTCTAAAGACGAATGATAGCAGACTCCAAGTGTTAGAATCATCAGTCTAGCTATCTCATTAATGGCATCAGGTGCGTTTTCATCACCATCATCATCGCCGTTGTAATTCGAATCTAGTTCATCCATCTTAGCCAAAAGTGTCTCTTTTTTCGAGTAAAAAAATTGCAGGACAGCCATGGCCCTTTCTATGTCTCGCAAACTCACAAAAAGACATTGGTCTCGGTTTTCTCGTAGGAATTTCTGTGAACGGCTCAGAAGGTTGCAGATGAAATCAACATCGGCTTCAATGAGACGCATATCGGCAGCTCGCTTTGACACTAACTGCTTGATATACTTATTCTCAACTTCACTAGTCAGTTGACCGAAATCCCAGACCAGCGGCAACAAACTCGGCGGCAACGGGTTCACTCGGTAGACAAGGTGACGCATCGGGATATCGGAGTCCAGTTTGTCTTTTGTTTCACTGGACTTGACATGGTATCCCAGTCCTTGGGACTCAAGTTTCTTGATCATTTTATCATCGTGTTTTCTGTACGGGTTACAGGCAACAATTACTTTTAGTCCTGAGTCAGGGTCCAGTTTTCGGCCATTGACACTAAAATCGCAAATCACTTCTTTGATTCCGTATATCGCCTCTGTTGTGTTTGCTTCATCAAAAAACAGGACGGTGTAAAATCCGTTTCCAAATTTTTCCGTGTTTGCCATTGCTAACTTTTCAGCATCTTCTATGCTTTGCACAATGTCTTGCATTGTAACTCCACCGTGGACTTTCACGAACTTCTTGTTTTCCACATTCTCTCCTCTAGCCATAATGTTACAAAGGTACTCGATCAACCTCGTCTTTCCGCAACCAGTTTCGCCCATGATAACCACTGGAATGTTGCATCTAAACCGCATGTAAATAGCCAACAGCTTCATGACATTATCCTGGGTAAGTTCATACGTGGGATCAAAGCGGATCCGGTTTGGCTCGACCCCCAAGACTCGACAGAGTTTCATTTGTTTCACGTTCACTTGAAGGTCGTCGAAGTTTTCGTCCAAGACGTCCCTCTCATCGAAAGCTTGTCGCTTTATCTTTTGCTGAAGATCAGCGCTCATGACATTTCTGGCTAACACTTTTCCACCCCAGTCTTGTAAATTAGAATTAGTAATGCGCACTCCTAAGAACGTGAAGGTCATTTGGTCTGAATTGATAAAAACGTAAGGATGTGGACAGTTCTCCCAACGTCTTCGAATTTGATGAACTTCGTAGTTTGTCTCACTTTCGTTTAGACCAAAAAGAGGCGAGTTGTCAGCGATGCTTAAGCTAGGCAGTGCAAAGTCTTGTGCCATTGCAATTAGGCAGTGTTTTACGTAGAAGTTTTTGAAGCCTTCGAACTCTCCAGATCCGACAAAGAAGTTCTGTTCGCAAGCAATTAACTGCAGATTTAAGAACCTAGCAAAGAAAGACAGCTGCGCCCACGTCGGATTATTGAGCCCACTGTTTCGCTTAATAACATCAATTACTAAGCGGCCATCTTGCATTTCGCCTTGGTAAGTGTAAAAAGACAGGTCTCTGTTTTGATTGAAGGCGTCCAGATAGTGATATGATCTTTGGAATTCTGGACTTTGGATGAGAATTGGATCTGGGCCAATGATGCGCTTGAAATTAGTTTCCGTCTCGTTATCCTGTAGACATTGGTTGGGCGACAGACACACTGTACATGGCATTAAACTGCAGAGGGGCTTCCAAGGAGATGTATTCTAAAATAGAGCAAGCCTCGCCGTTTGCTGTACAAGAGAAGAAAATCCAATTAATTTCGCGACCCGTTACATTTTTTGATTAAAACATAGCCAACTGACAGTTGGAAAAGAGTAATGAACGAAAGGAAACTGAAAAAAAATGTAACTTGTTGTTTCAAAAATCTTCAACTTTTGAATTTTGATGAAAAAAATATATGGCCTCAAAGCTGTTCGAATTTGTAGAACAATTTATGATGTACACTTTTTTGTTGAAATTAACCCAACCCAATTTGAAAACCGGATCAGTAGTTCAAACTTTTATTTCACTGGAAAATCTGATAATTAATTTCCATTTTCGAAGTTAGAAGTCGATCACGTTTTTCGTGACCTTTACACTTTTTTCTGTTCGATAGTGGAGTTCGCCTTCTTTTAACAATAAAAATGCACTCATAAAAAGAAATCACACCACAAAAAAATCAAATTTAGCGTCAACAAATTTTAAAAAAATTATCAGGACGTACATAAGAAGAGTACTCACTACGTTCGTTACTCTTACATATAGCTAACAGACCGTTGGAAAATATCATTGAGCTAACTAAAAAACTTTTCTTTTTGAAGCATTTTAATGATAAAAACAAACGGCCTCAGAAGTGTTTGAATTTCATATGAATTTTCTCATTGATCTCTTTTGATAATGAACACTACCCAATTTGAGACAACTGGATTACAGGAAAATTTTTTCTTCTAAATTCCTAAAAATTAAAGTCGACCTCTGAAGTTAATAACGCGTCTACGCCATTTGAATTTGTATTATTCGAGAAGACCTCTTCTAAGTCTTTTTTTTTTGAAAAAAAAAAACAAAAAAACAATACGACGTATACGAGTGTCTTCACTAGGTAATTGGCACTTGATAACCAAATTAAAAAGAACTTTACTGTTGGTTGTTGATAATCAACTAACTTTGCTCCAAAAGGAACAATTGATTGTAATTAATTTTTTAACAATACATTTTATATCATATGCCAAAACATTCAAATGAAGTAAATATTTTAACGGAAAAAAGTAGCCTATTGCAGTGCGAGTAGCACAACGTATTCCGAGCACAAAAAATGCGCGTTTTTCGAGAAACGAAATTTTGTCTATGGAGGGCCTAATGTGCCTTCTACTAAGCCTTCCAAAAATTTAAGCAGACCGAACAGACAGTTGGAAATGAGTCAATGAACGCAAGTAACCAGAAAAAAAACTGACTTATTTTGAAAAAATCTCCACTTTCGAAATTCCAAGAAAAAAGACGGCTTCAAAGCTCTTCGAATTTCTAGTATAATTTATGTTTGAAACTTTTTTCATTAAATTAACTCAATTTGAGAAAAGTGGATCAATAGGTAAAAGTTTTGTTTCGCTGGGAAATTTGATAATTAAATTCCATTTGATCTTTACATTTGCTGTTCGATAGTGGAGTTTACCTTCCTTTTAACAAAGGAAACCAACTGAAATTAAAAAGAAATCAAAAGTCAAACTTCAAAGAATTATATTTGAGACTGAATAAATTTTAGAACTTTTCCTGAAAAAAAAAACACATGACGACCTTAAAAGAACTGCGTTCATCGACTCTTAAAAAACAAAGCAACGGTTGCTATGCAAGTAGTATAGAATTTTTTAGACCACAAAAATTACGAGAAAACTGAGTTAATTGTTACTCTAGAGCCTAATTATTTAACTTCCATTTAGTAAACAAAATCGAAGTGAACTTCAAAGCAAAATATGAAAAAAATTGAGAGTGAATATAATTTTGAAGCCATTTAAAAAAAAACAAAAAAAATCACACGACCCAAATAAATGTCTCACTTCGTTTATTAAACACAAGTTATTGTTATTAATTACGAGCACTTAAATAGTAAACTACGACATTGGTATCATATGAAAACCCTTTCAGCCCTTTTTTAGATTCTAAGTTGAAAAAAAAAACAGGTCCCAATTTTTTATTCGATCTCACATTCAGCGAAGAGTCAAGAACAAAACTGATCACTGGATTTTGGGATGTCAGTGAACTTATATCCAGGCACTCTGGAAAAAAAACCGCAGGACCTACATAAGTTAACACTTACTTCAATCCTTAACACTTAACCAAAAGAGCCAAAACTTGAGCGTCAACGAACAGTATAAAAATTCAACTGAAAAAAGCCCGAAACAAAAACTAAATAACTTCATTCACAACTGTTGTTTTATTCTAGTTTTTGATCTATTTATATGAAATCAGAAATGAATAGAACAACAGAGCAAAATTTCCATGATACCGTTTTCCTCAGAATTACCTTTCAGGTACTTTAAAAATTTACACCATTGACAATCAGATGAGTGTCTAAACTCGACAATGACGGAAGATGTTCAAAAATTGCTAACAAAACAAACCAATAGGGGTAAAAATATATTTTCTTTCTTATCAGCTTGACAAAACAAACTGCATTATCGTAAGGTTTTTACTGGTTTTTTGAAAAATAAACAGAGAAAATTTTTGACCAAGAGGAGTAGTTGCACTTTGCAAACACAAATTAAACAAGGGTAGACGGTTACTGTGCAACTGGCACCGAATGTTCCAACCATAGTATTCAGAAAACTACGGTTTAGAGTTTTTTCTAAATTAGCGTAGTTTTTTTTCTGCTTGGTGTGATAAAATGATCTGAATTAAAAATAAATTTTAGGCATAATAGACGGTCATATTAGTATAAGCAAATTGGACAATAATGTTTGTAGAAAAATGACAAGAAAACTAAAATGAAAAAAAAAAATCAAAATTGTTGGAATTTTTTTAAAAGTTTTTTGTTTCCTAAAATGAATCTAAAAAACTCCAAAAACTAGTTTTACTTTTAGTTTAACTCAGCGGTTGTTAGCCTGCTCGCTTACTTTATTCGCTCGAGTTATGACGAAAAATCAAATTTCAAACCGTTTTTTCTCGACACTGGGAAAATTTTTTGGAATTTTTTAACGTGGTTTGACTCACGACAGAAAGGGCTTTAATATGATATATCACTTAACCCAACCCAATGATTATTTGTGGTACCAGATTTTGCGTCGAAAACAAAAATAAAAGAAAAAACTAATACACACCAGAATACGAAGTTCCTCCCCATTTTCAATGATCGGAACAAAAACGCCACAAAGGAGTTCTGAAAATGCAAAGAGAAAAAGTCCACTGATGTCTAAAAACCGAACACCTTCATATTTTCAGACGTATCTAATACGAAAAAATGACCACTGAATGCTATTTAATTAAGCGGAAAAACATATGTAGCTGAAGAATATGATAGCGAGCAAAAACATGGTGTTAGGATAAAACATAGCCAAATAGAAAAGAAGAGAAAATTGGAAAACAAAAAACTGACCTAATTTTTGAAAAAACCCCAACTTTCGAGCTTCAAAGAAAAACTAAATGGCCTTAGAATTTCAAGAAGAATTTATTTAAGACAATTGCTTGATAACATTAACCGAATTGTTTGAGAAACCGGATCAAAAAGTATAATTTGTCTATTCCGTATAGAAATCCTATACAGCCAACAAAACAGAATTGTGCCAGCAGACAGTAGGAAAAATGACAATGAACAAGAAACATTTAAAAAATAATGACCCGTATTTTGAGACAACTTTCAAATTTCAAGGGCAAATTTTATAGCGCTTAAGATTTTCGAAAATCACGACACAAATTATGATTGAAACTGTTTTCATAGCTTTGAGCCAATTTGAGAAAAGTATATTATAAAGTAACTAGAAATTGATCGTTTTTCGAGACATTTATTATTTTGCTGTTCGATAATGTAGTTTACCTTCCTTTTGACAGAAGAAATGAACTGAACTTCGAAAGAATTCAGTCAAACCGCGAACAACTAAATTTGAAAGTGAACAAATATATAGTTTTTTCCTGGCAAACAACATAGCCAATCGAAGACCGGAAAAGAGTGATGAACGCAAGTAAACATATAAAAAAACACTAACTTTCTTGAAAAAATCTCAACTTTCGAATTTCAAAGAAAAAAATAGATGCTTTTTCAGCTCTTTGAACTTCTAGAACAATTTATGATTGGCGCTTTTACGATAACATGAACCCAACTTGAGAAAACTGGATCAATAGGTAAAGTTTTTATTCCGCTGGGAAATCTTAAAAATAAACTCCACTTTCAAAACTAGAAATCGTTCACGTTTTTTTTGCGACATTTCCACGTTCGTATTTGGAGTGCTATTTACGTCACTTTCAGAAGTCGAATTTAAATTGAACTCAAAAAGTGCATATATAACAAGTGCATCAATATTTTAAGACTTTTTCCTGAAAAAAAAGACAAAAAAACCTATATTCACTACGAACACTTGAAAAAGAGTCAATGAACGCAAGGAAACAGAAAAAAACTAACTTGTTTTTTGAAAAACTTCCACTTTCGAGTTTCAACGAATGGCCCTAAGGCTTTTTGAATTTCAAGAACAATTTAGGATTGGCTTTTTTTTGATATTTAACTCAATTTGAGAAAACTGGAGTGTTAGGTAAAATTTTTATTCCGCTGTGCCATCTTAAAATTTAATTCCACTTTCGAAACTAGAAATCGATCATGTCTTTTGCGCCATTTCCACATTCGTATTTGGATAGCGCATTTCGACTGTGCATATATACCTAAGTGCATTCATGCATGCATTAAACATTTGAATGCACTCCAGTAGTTATTAGAGCATTTTAAAACTTTTCCTGGAAAAAAAGAAAAAATCATCAAGACCTACCTATATAAGAGTCTAAACTACGTTTATCGGCTTTTAAAAAGAACCATTTCAAAAATAACAAAGGAAAAACGTTTTTACCTGCGGCGTCAGCATTTCGATGGCCAGGCAGAAATTTTCTTTGGCTAGAAAGAGCTTTCCCCTCTCATCTGCCAGACCGCCCAGCACACAAAGTTTAAACAGCAATTCGTCCACGTTTTCCATTACCTGTCAATTCACTGCCGATCGTTATGTTGCTTAAACATGCTTACTTAAATGTTTGATTTAATGTTTTGAAAGTTCAAATATTTCCCACATTTAACATCATCTTATCTTTCGTCATTAGTTCTATAAAAATCTTTCAAAATTAGTTCTACTGCGCCGCTTTCTCAAAATTTCATTTGAACTGTGCTTTTTCAGTCTTAGGAAAATAGAAAACTATCAGATCTGGTCTAGTCTCGTAATCAACAATAGATCACGATTGAACGGAAGATATGAATGGTGACTTACATTAGGCGACACGTCCAAATGAATGATGGTGTGAACAGATACAGATTTGTGTCGCCATAGGAAGTCCAGCACTCTTTCGAAGTCCACGTTTCGGTCGTAGAGACGGAGGATGACACGAGAGCTCCCTCTGTGTTTCTTTTTCGTTTCACTTTCCAAGCGATCCACATGCAAGGACTTCCCTAAACAGGAAAACAGCAGGTTTGGGAGGCGTTGGCGTACACCCTCCACCACATTCAATTTAGGTAGACCATGATTTTTCCAAAAAGCATTGCAACAGCGATGCGGGCATACTTTTTAAATCACACATTACAACAACAACGCCTATTTTCAATTTTTGAAAGAAAACGCAACCATTTTTTAATCTAACTATCTAAAAAATCTGCTTCGACAAAGACAGATCTTGCAGATATGCTACAACATATGGAATTTAAATTAATAGGCAGTTAAGGTGAATAATTGGATGTGTGTTTTTGAGAAGTATAACCCTCTTGTAAAAACGGCGTTTCAAACAGATTAATGAACAAGAAAATCGTCTATTTTTAAATGAAAAACACCTAAGTTAAATGCAACCGTAAGAATAGACGAGAGCATCCAATAACAACGCTTCCGTTTAATAAACTCAACATTATAAAAAAATAGAGTTTCTATATTTTTGAGTGAATGGGATGATATGTCAATTTTACTTCTATAAAGAAACTCTATTTTTTTTAATAATGTTGAGTTTTTTAAACGGAAGCGTTATTGGATGCTCTCGTCTATTCTTACTAAATATGAAAAGTGCAGTTGTATGATGTTGGCCATTTTAACGTTTTATTTTTGAGTGAATGGGATGATATGTCAATTTTACTTCTATAAAACGTTAAAATGGCCAACATCATACAACTGCACTTTCATATTTAGAATGAATTCCGAAACGATTTCATTTATATTATCACTATATTCACAAAATATATTCTAATTGTTCAAAAATTGAGCGGTCGATCTTAGTGAAAACTTTTGGAAAATCATTTGAAAAAATAAGAAAAAACGTTAAATTTCAAAAAATATGAGAAGTCAATTTTAGAGGCCACACCTGCAATCCCTGTGGGTAGCCTAACATCAACCCGCCGTAGTTTAAATTTCTGAACTACCAAACAAACGCCATTTCTCTAGATATCTGCAACTTTTGAAAAATCATCAAGTTTTTGACAAAGTTTGAGTTTTTGAAAATCAAGAAAACAGCGTATCTCGGAAACTAAAAAGATTTTAGCAACCACATTTGAAGCCAAGATGTGAAACCCCCGAGAGTACCCTGACATTGCCCAACTATATCGATGCGGATTTCGAATTTTGTGAAGTTCGTAAATCTGAATTTTATGAATTTTTTTCGAAAAAATCACAAAAGTCATCAATCTTTAAACTACAAGGCTTTGGGTATTAATGCTTGGCGGCCGATTTCGCAAACTATGGGAAAACCCTGACAGCATCCCACCATAGGGTTGCTACTTTCAAATTTGGTGCAATAGACGCTGAAACGAAAAACGCCCGTCATAGAATGTATAGATCCTCATCCCCTCTCATGCTGACATCATAAACTACATTCTAACAGTCGGGTCATCTAATTCCCCAAGCATTCATAAATTGGAAAATAGAAAAAATTTCTTAAGCATTGCAATATACGATATAACTTAATCATGCATAGATACGTTATACGCTTAACCGTTACAAAAGACGCTTTAACATGACAAGATACGTGTCACATGCATTTAAATATAGTATAAATCATTTTTTGACAATCTCATACTAAAAATATGTAAAAAAAATACCTGAAGACGGCTGCGTCGAACTGATCAATCGGACTCTGAAAGTGTCTATGGCATCCTCGGCTGCCCTCAAGTTGCCACACAAATAGCTTCTCAAGTCATCTTCCGATTCTTTTACAAACCTCGCTTTAAACTTCTCCAGCGCCACCGACACTTGGCTACTATCGTCACAATTAAACACTATCAATTTGTAGGATGGCCTCGGATCCTTTATTTTTTCGAACAACAATTTCTCCATTTGATCTGCACAAGTAGGACTCAGATCGTCTGCAAAAGCAATTGAGTACACTTTATTTCGGGGATCCAGCATAGCACGGAGCATGAAGGTTTCAACTTCCGCAACAGACGTCGTTGCATTGCATAGCAAAACTTGGTTATAGTCCGGTAATTTCTCCTTTGAGACGAAATTGTACAATGACATAATGTAGAGAAGAATGTCAGAGCGCTTTTCGCAAATTACCAAGTTTGGTTTCCCCAATTTCAGATGCTCAGGATACTTCAAATCAACAGGTGTGTTTTCATGTTCGAGCTTCTTTTCTAGGCACCTATTCAGAACAAACCCAAGTTGGAAAAGATTCACGTAATTTTCCAGGGAGTTTTCTTTCATTTCTGATAAATATTTATCAAAAACATGTTCCATCGACTGTGCAAAATTGCTGAGATCAATTTTGTTTCCACTCTTGTCCAAACCGGTTCCAGTAGTTTCAGTTCTGTCCAAGGAAGCAAAATGATCTTCAAACTTCCGCGATAAGTTCTCAACTATCTCTTCCTGGTCTTCGTGATCCATGATCCAATTCAAAGCATCGGCTTCATCGCAATTTTCACATGATCCATCAGTCATATCCCGAATCGCTTGGATTCCAGCCTTGGCTAGATTTTCATTGTCATTGAATTGGCTCTTTAAGCTATCAATTAAATTGAGCCAAGCACTTCTTTCGTCCACGTGAGCTTTACCTGTGAGTTCGTCTAAGGCAATTGGCTGATTCTCTATGTCAAGAGAATCACTGTCTTCAGTTTCCATGCTATTGTCATCGTAATCATCATACAAGAACTGAACAATGTCTTCCTTGCTGATATTTTGGTCGATGGACTCAAGGTAATATTTCGTAGCTCCGTCAATCTGTGCCGTGTTACGTTTGAGTTTTGCCAGTCCCAAGCAAAGGGCACTCAATTGTTGCATGTTGAATTCGTTCAAAATTGGGAGACGGCACCGCATGGCAAAAACGTATTGCTCCCATTTCTCTTTAATTGACTCTAATGCAATACAGAGATCTGAAAGTTCCAGGTTCGTCTCTCGGGTATTTGAGTACAAATTTTTCCCTGTGTCGCCCAACTTGATCTCCAGCGCAGAATGTGTTTTCCCGTCCGATCTCGTTCTGATGTGAACAGACCAAGCATTGAAAAAACCACACCCAGAATTGTACAAAGTCACAAATGAAGATGAAAGCCGTTCAATGTTCTGGAATGTCGTGATGAATATATCAACACTTTGAGCATGTTCGTGTTTCTCTTTGCCGACTATCAGCATCAGTCGACTGAGAAGATCTCGCAATTCGGCTAAATTCAGCTCCCGCTTTTCTTCGGTCTCTTGACCGTCAGCTGATTTCATTTCTTCTTTGTAATGCAACATCACTGCATCTTCAGGCTCGATTAGGACTTTTCGTTCCGATTGGGGCGAGTATCGCACTATATAAACACCCGTGTTATTGATTTGGAGTGCTTTTTCAAGTGAACTTTTCTCAACTGAACCTTGGGTTTCCAGGGCTTTTTCAAACCACGAAAACTGTCGAGCACTGTCTTCATATTTCGAAGACAGCTTACAATCTGTACCAAGCTTCGCGAATACTTTGTTGTACGCTGTTTTTACATGCTCAAAGGTGCTGTTGGGTTTCAGGTCGTAAATTAATGGGGCATAACCGAAGATGGCATCATGGAAACATTTCACTTTGTCAATTTCATAGCTTACTTCTCCCGCTGACAGGCTTGCAAGCTCGGTTACAACTTTCACGTCTTGCAGTGCTTGAAAACAAAAATGAATCATAAAAACTCCAATAATCAACATGTTGCAGCCGGCAAAGCGATAAAAAACATAAGCAAAGCTGAAATTTGTACAGAGCAAAAACCAACTTCTCAAACTCGAAGATACTTCGATAATGAACATAGCCAACAGACAGCAGTTGGACAAGAGTCAATGAACAAAAGTAAACCGAAAAAACAAACGGACTTGTTTTTTTGAAACTTTCGAATTTCCAAGAAAAAAATAGATGGCTTCAAAGCTAATTGAATTTCTAGAATAATTTATGATTGACGTTTTTTGATAAACTAACCCAATTTGAGAAAACTGGATCAATAGGTAAAATTTTCATTTCGCTAGGAAAACCGATTATTAATTTCCACTTAATAAGCTAGAAGTCGATCACGTTTTTCGTGACCTTCACATTTTCGCTGTTCTATAGCGGAGTTTGCCTCTCTTTACACAATCGAAATGAGCTGAACTGAAAAAAAAACAAAAGTCAAACTGCGAAAAAGTAAATTTGAGCCAGTACAAATTTCCTAAAAAAATCATCGCGACCTATATAAGAGTCTGAACAATGTTCATCGACTCTTAATAACCCAAAAGATACTATAGAATTACAAACGACAAAGTTCTCAGAAAAAAAATATGTGAAACCCAACAAAAAATGACAATCAGCTATTGTTACCACTTTTGGTCGAATAGATATTTTATTTCAAATCGATAATAGATCATTTCTTTCTGGGTCCAATAGATAATTTCTTTCATTCCACAGGGAAATCTAATTATTAAAATCCTCTTTCGATACGCTCCAAGCCGACATAAACAAATCTAGCCTTTTTCTGCGCATATAGAACAGGATACTCCGATCCCAATCCAAGGATTGAAAGAAAAATTCAAAATACTGACAAAATCTATGTTTTTTGGCTACACTGTTGGAATTGGAGAGGTTAATTCTCTCTCATTTTAGCAATTTTTTTTTCAATTGATTTTGAATAAAAAAAGATCACCAGTTAGAAGTCATAAGCTGTTAGAAAACCTAGCCAGCACAAAAATGAACGAAGGAAGCAAAAAAGTTCAAGTTTCGAATATCGGATAAAATGTATATCATAAAAAACTCTTTGCCTTTCAAGAAATGTTAATAACTAAAACTTTTGTCTTATGAAAATTCAATTACAAGTTGTTAGCCAGCAGATAGTTGGAAAAATCAACAAATTTTCGAACGTTGAATGAAACAAGATATCATGCTACAGCACATTCAGTTTCAAGAATGATTTATGGCTAGCATTTTTCTTAAAACTCTCCTATTTGGCAAAAAAAACTATCAATATTTTGAATATTTTTTTTCCGCTTCAGAAAAACAAAGACCATTTTTTAAACTGAACAAAAATCATTACGTTTTTCGTCAACTGTGCACTTTTCCTGTTCGACAGTGGAGTTTGCCCTACTTTTACCAAAAGAAAAGGACCGGACTTAAAAATAAATTCAATCGTCATTTTTTTGGCAACTGGGGATTCTGAAAAAAAAAGTTTCACGAGCAATTTAATTAGGTTTTTTAGACACTTGTTTTTATAGGACTGGATAGAGTAACTTACCTCAGCTCGTCTTGAGCAGAAAACAAAAATCAAAAATGTTGTTGTAATAAAAGTTTGAACTACAAAGTTTTAAAAGCTTTTAAGCCCGTCCGTTACATAACCAAAAAAAAAACACATGACTTTTGATCAAGCTGCGTTATGAAATCACACATCAAATAAGCGTAAATATCAATAAGCGCTTGCATAAAATGAATAGAGGCGAAGCTGCGCTTCGCAAAGACACGCGAGAAACTACAAAAATTAGCTGTAAAATGAAAAATGAAAATAACGGCAAAAAAGCCTTGAAAATAAAGAGTTTTGCTCTCGTGGATTCGAACGGTCAATCAGTAGATTTCGATTCGCACACGTCCACGCATCTGCTCTATATACACCTGAAAACTTATTAACAGTAGCCACCATAAACCAGCTACACATGCTAATAACTTGCCAAGGCTCTGCAGCAAAATCATCACCAGCTATAAATAGACACAAATTTTGCATGTAACTATTTAGAATTTAAAAAGTTGAAACATCCACACTAACTTTGCATGAAGCCATTGGAAAACGTGAAGCCAAAATATACATTTCAAACACATTGCCAGATACATTGAGTTGGAAAATTTGATGAATCAAAAATGTATCAACTGTGTTAACTTGATTCCAGTCGCATGTCAAAGCACATGCTATCAAAAAGCCATATAGGAGCCCCAAAATTGGCACGTATATTTACGACTTATTTTGGAAAAAAATACTCGTACTTTTACACTACTCTAACTAAAGCTGGCTTGTGTAACCATAGGCAACAGACATTTGGAAAAAGGTAAAAAAACAAGGAGACCGAAAAAATGATTGAAAAAATCTGAGTTTTTTTTTCAAATTTCCAATTTCATTGGAGATCTATGCTTTTTTGTTGACAATTTATTAATGAAAACATAGCCAACTGAGTTCGAAAAGAATAATGGACGCAAAGAAACAAAATAAAACGACTTGTTTTTCGAAAAATCTTCAGCTTTGGAGTATTCAAGAAAAAATATATACCCTTAAAGCTCCTTGAGTCGATGACAAATTTTGATGGTGCTTTTTTGATTATATTAACCCAATTTGAGAAAACTGGATCAATATATATTCAACTCCGCTTGAAAATCTGAACATTAAAATCCACTTTCGAAACAAGAATTTGATCACGTTTTCGGCTTGGCTGTTCGATAGTGGAGTTTGCCTTCCTCTTAACCAAGGAAAAGCACTGAGCTTAAAAAGAAGCAAAATTCAAACCGCAAAAAAAAATCAAAAAGGAGCGCGAACAAATTAAATTTTTTCCTGAAAAAATCACCATGACCTAAATAAGAGTCTTCACTACGCTCATTACTCTTACAAACCCAATTTGAGAAAACAGGATCAAGAGGCATCTTTTTTTTATTCGGCTGGGAAATCTAAATAAAAAAATTCGCCTTTGAAACTGAAAATTATTAATCAGCTTTTCGAGTCTTTTGCAATTTCGTTACTATTTTATTTAATTGTCCGTTAATTTGGTTCTCTTGCATGAATTTCAAGTACACTTTGCACTGTAACCATACTTTGACGGTAAGAAAAGTAACTTATACGAACAACTTCGTTTTTCAAGCCTCGCATAAAAATTATGATTTTTGCCATAGTAAACTTCCACGAAAACTGAAAGTTTAAAAAATGGGTTAACAGAACAAGAGCCGGTCTTTTGGAGATGCTTTTGAACATCTCAAAAAAAATTAGGAATCAACCCATTGAACTCGAAATATAGCCTGAATAATTGCGATCAGCTGTATATCGAAACACACATGCTGGCAGTAAAATACAAGTAGCAGTGCAGATTTATTTTAGTTGAAAAAAGGCCAAAATGTATACTAGAACCTCCGGTTAGGTAAAAAAATTAGTTCAGAGCCAGTTAAAAAGAGTGATAAAAGCCTTACTTCTCATTTTCTTTTTGATCCATGCAAGGAATGCTGGTTGATCCACGAAGCATTTAATGGCTTTGATTTGGTCGGCGGTCACTTCTGCAAATTCTTGATTGCACTTCAGCACGTCTTGTGACAGTTCGCATAGTTGAACTCGACTAAGGTCACTCTAAACATAAACGAGGCAAATTAATATCTCGAAAACATACATATCAACAAATGGACTTGCAATCCCATAACAAAATAAGGGTGGGATGAGTGGATTCTCTCTAAACTCTTTCGATTCACCACTCAAAAGACAACTCCCTTCGGTTCTATTTAAGCGGTCTGTATTTCTAGAGTAGTGAGTATAATTCTACTTGCGGGTGAAAAGCGCGTAGACACATCGCCATTTAGTTGTAACAACTATCGAAAGCATACTTCTCGGAACAATTGCCATGCTATAGAAAAAAAGTTTACTAAACTTGCATCCAAGATCCTGTTTTTTTTTTTTTAATGAGCCCTCGCTGGAATTATCTGCTGCATAGCATATCAGACATCTATGCAATTTTCGATGATAAATTTCACTGTTCAACTAACCGTCCTTTTGAGAACATCCAATTCCGTAAAATTTGTCTCAATTCCAACTGCATTCTTCAGCCCGTCGAGTGCGCTCAAAAACTGCAAGTTCAGATCCAAGCTATCTAACATCAGCACCTGCTCATTTCGTTCATTGAAGAGATCTTTTATTTCAGATTTTTTGGACTCGTTTGGCATCTTTGAAGCAAGAGTTTCTATCAAAAAGTTGAGTTCCTCTGACTTTTGCTCCTTTGTTTTGTGCTTGCCGTTGAACTGCTTGAATATATCCTGTGCATCTTTGGCGGTCAGTTGTCCTGAAGCCAACTGGTCAGCTGTATGCAGAAAGTTGGCTTCGATTTTAGGCAGAAGGTTCAAAAACTCTGAATACGATATGGATTCAGTTCTCTGGAGCAGAGTTAGCACCACGCCAACAGCCATATTAGCAAAGATTCGACTGCTCATGAAATGAGAGAATTTTTTCACTGTTTCCATTTCAGGAGGAGATAGTTTATTGTGCCTGAAGACAGGTTCTGTCCCTTGAAAAGCTGCCAATTCCTTCAAGGGCTTCTTTTGCCAGTCTTGAATTCCGCCATCCAAGCTTGAGGTTTCAATCCTTATGACGCTGCTGTGGGACGTGAACTTGCGTTTCAATTCGCCCAAATGAGAAATGTCATGCACATGAGTTTGGATACAAGCACCGAGTCTGTTACAGTCATTGAAGACAGTGTTGAAGCCCGCCTCAGTCGCAACTTCCAAACGGAGGAAAATTTCTACAAACGTGTTTCTATTATTCGCTATTTTCGCCAAATTGTCATACGATATACTAGTCGTAGTCAGCTGCTCAAATATTGTCTTAAAATGCTGTGTAACTTTCTGAATTCGCTCATTGAAATCGCCAACTACTGAAACACGTGTTTTACGAGCCAAATCGTATAAAGGGATAAACGGTTTCCAACCGACGACTTTTAGCGCTGCTGCATACACACAAACGTCACTTGATACATCTGGAAATTGGTCACTGAAGATTTTTATAAAAGCCTGTTGCACTTTCGGACTCCACCACTGCATTACATGAACATCAATCACGCTTCCTGAATATTGGTGGAGCGCATTGATAATAGCTTCATCGAAAACTGATTCCACACCGGAAAAATTGATCTCAGGGCAATTGCTTTTTATGTCTGAAATTCTTTTAGGAAGAGAGTTATAAATAGCAAATAAGTCTTCGGTTACAATAATTGATTTCAAGTTGTCAAGGAAAGATTTACGGAGACTATGTTCAATTTTCTTGCCAAAATCTGATAAAAATACGTTCCTTGGCTGCAACAACAACGACCATAGTTTTGCATCTGCCGTGGTATAACTAGCTGCAGCCGCAACTCTAATCTGATTAGCATTGAATGCCTTACTGTAAACGAGATTCATCAAATTGAAGTCATTCTCGCTAGTAAAAGGGACTTTGTTTGAGTAAACTATGTCCAAAAAATTCAAAAACTGAAGCAGTAAGGAATTCCACCATTTTTTGTCGTCGTCCGGCAAGTATTTATCGTTCAAACCAATGGTCAGTAAATCACGAAACAAACATAAATAATGAGCAAGATCGGACTCATTTCGAATGTTTGCAGCTTCCTGTGGCAGCTTATACTTAATCAGAAACAATGGCAGCTGGTGCAATTTAGCGATCCTACTTTGGGCAGGGTTCATTTGCATTATTACCCAGCAAACATCTGGAAATGTGCACCCTAAACGAAGCGCAACATCGCGTATCGTTTGGCCTGAATTGATATAAAGATGAAGCAATTGTCTTCTTGTAAACGACGATACGTAGAGCACATCACGATTTGGAATGATCACTTCCTTAAAAACAAACCAAGTTGGATACTGAATTATTTCTGTAGGCGGAAAAGCAAACGACATCCATTCAAGCAAGACAGAAAACGAGCTACTGTTCTGAGCAGTCGCCATTAGGTCATTGCACACGCTCGAGACCTTCAAGAGCACTGACGAACTCATGTCTTTTTCGTTGATTAATTGCTTAAAATCGTACTTGGAAGATCGAGTTTTGAAAGCAGCCATTTCTAAAAATTGTTCCAATTCCTTCTCCGAAATGCTACCAAATCTAGTCTTGAGCTCACTCATGAGAACAAACCATACAAGCATTATTAATTGACATTCCAAGCTTCCATTCGCGGTTCCAGAAGAGTCTTGATACATCGTTAGCGACATCATTTGCGAATCTTGATACATCGAAAAAATAGTTTCCATAATAGCGTCAAAAATTTTACGATTATGCTCATATGGGAAGCTGTTTGTGTCGTAAGCATGCCCAATGCGCACCGTCGAGAGGCTATCGATAACTTCCATGATTTGTGGAATGTGTTGCTGATAAGACTCAGCTTTTATAAAATTTTCGATTTGATGTTTCAAATAAAAACTCAGACCTTTTGAATTTTGTAGCAAGTAAAAGTTGTGGCTAGTGTTTTCGTTTCCCACCATGCTGCTGTACATGTTTTTGAAATTTTTGAAGATTTTTCTGAACACCTGTTCCGACTTTTGGTCACTTTTGTGAAAAGTAATCAATCCATCGTACTTCTCTCTTTTGCCGTTTCTCATGTCACTCTTGCACATGCGATTGATCTCTCCCTCTTTGTGCAATTTCTCCCATTTCCAATCCTTTTGATTAATGTTCAGATTCGTAACCGCTACATACTTGTACTCAACGTATAGCTTTGAAACTTTTTTCATTTCAACATGAAACCGCACCCATAAATATCCGTCAATTTCTGCGATAATATATCCAGGTGTTATAGTTTTAAAATCTGTGTAAGAGGAAGTTACGCCAATAATGAATGGTTCGTTTTTGAAAATCATGCTCAAATCAGGGCCAAAAATTGCATTGAAAATCACATACCCATTCATTTTTTCAGATTTCTCGCTCCATTTTTCTATTTTTGGGTTTCTATTAATCTGTTTTAAGGGTTGAATCACCGATAAGTCGTCAGAGTTTTCAAAATTCGAGGAATCATCTGCTTCATCATCTGTCATCAAGCTCGCGTTGTCAACTGGTGGCGTCTTTTTCTTTTCTTTCGATCGAGTCTTCATTGGCGAAGGATCTCTAGTTTTTTCCACTCGAGGCGGCTTAAACTCCAATACTTTGTCAGAATTGTCAATCAGAGTATATTTTTCGTTGTTCGACATGGTTACTTTATCTTGGTGCTTCGAGAAAGAGATGAAACTTGGGTTTTTGGCGTGGACGTTTTTATCAGGGGCAAGGGATACTGCGTAACTGTACCAGAAATACTTTCCGGCCAAAATATCAGAATCCAACAAGTTGACAGTCAACCTCTGATGCTGGACCCTATCTTTATCGACCACACCATCTTTGTTTGCAGGAAAGAAAGCAAAATTTTTCTGTTTGTTCTTATTCTCGATTATAATTGCAACTCCACAGTAAATTTCTGCATCCTTGCAGAACTCGAGGTCAAATATGTCTTTGCCAACACAGAAAGTGAAAGACCACCTTGCTTTGTCTTGACTTGTCCCTTTTCCATTTGCTATCCGAGAAAATGCTTGGTCCTCTTTTGGCAAATCCACAGAGGTTGTCTTGCTTTTTATTGCACAACGGACCGCATTTTCAGCTTCAGAAGTATTTTTCGGTCTATCTGCTGCATCAGATCCAGAAATTTGTGAAGTTTCTAACAACGTTTTATTTCCTGTAGCACCTGTTCCAACACCCGGTTGATCAGAAAACGGTTCATCTTCCACAACCGGAACATTGTTTGACACGTTATTGTCAATATGGGACTTCTTTTCCGAAATTCTTTCGCTTTCGGGGACACTTTTGCAAGCTTTCTGTGGACTTTCACGTGGTTTAAAAATTTGAACAAAGTTACTGTCGTCAATAAGTTTCTGTCCATTCTCGGCAATAACTCTCGGTTCCATGTCGGATGCTACAAGTAAATTCGGATTTTGCTGCAGATCAGCTTTGTTTTCAGATTGAGACACAGCGTAGGTATAGGAAAACTTGGTTGTTTTTTCGAACAGTACATTTGGAACATAAGAACATACAATCACGACTCCTTCTTCCATGGGCAAAGTGGTTCCAGGATAAAATGCGCATTTGGAATCATCAATAGTCAACAGTACACCACAAAATAAGCTATCCTCGTCCAGGCCAAGCTCAAAAATGTCCACACCAACTGTAAATTTGAACTTGCGGGAATTCCTTTTCGTCACGACTTTCGGATCTTTAATTTTCTCCAATAAACTACATTCATCATCTTCGCTCTCAATTCTTTCACCGTTTTCTTCCGTCTGCTCAGATTGATCATGCTGCTGCTCATTTGCGACAACGTTTTGGTCTTTTTGTTCAACGCTGTCTTCTATCTTTTGCTCGGGTTCTTTTTCAGTTTTAATTTCGTGGTGCGATTTCTTTCGTACAGGCGAAGCATCACTTGAGTTTGCTTCCCAATCCAAGTCTTCAATCGACTTTCGTCGATGACAGCTTATATTTCCAGTCTCTTCACCTGTTGGGAGGTCTTCCAGCTCAGTCGAATTCGCAAGTTTATCAAAACTTTCTATCCTTTTCGCTCCATCGTTTTGATTTAATTTCTCGGTATCTTTCCCAGGCAAATTTTCAGAATTAGTTTCATCCGGATTCTTATTAGTTTCGGCATCTTCAGCAGGGCTTTCGTCATTGTTTAAATTTAGATTGACATCACTAGTCACAGATTCACAGGATACTTTGAACTGTTTCTGCGGAGACAAATTACAATTGTCATCCTCCTGCGGGTTTTGACTGTCGACTTCTTCAAGTTTATCACTGGAATCAGCATTGCTCAGTTTTCGTTTAACAGTTTTGCAAGAAGCATTCTCTGCATTTTCATCCTGTTCGACAGAAGCAGTCAAATTTTGATCATTCACATTTTCGTTCAGCTGTGTTTCTTTCACCACTTCATTAACTGCTTTATCGGGAGATAACTGTGGCGAATTGGAATTATCAGGAAGAATCGAAACTTGTTCAAACTTTTCGGTCAAATCGGTTTCCGCTTCCGGAAGTTTATGCACGTTTTGTTCACTCGGAAGTTCTGATTGCTGTATATCCAACGATATTGAGGATTTGAACATTGGGATGGAAGAACCTTCCGCATGTTCAGCGTTAACAGCTTCGTTTTCTGATTGATTACATATTGGTTCTGTTTGGGGAATATTAGCCTCAGCTTCAGGTACGCCTAAATCAACACATTCAGGTCCAAAACTGTCAATCTGGAGCGGCTCTGCAATATTTTCGTCCTCATTTAAAGCCGAGTCGTGGCTTCCGGTACTCTCCGAGTCGCTCTCGGATTTTTCGGGCTCAATTTCAGGATTCATTGGTAGGGCCTCCATGGCATCATCACTGAAAAACACAAATTTCGTAGAAAGTTCTGCGACGACAGAAAAAAATATTCAACGATTACCGCCGAGATAATATTAATAAGAAAACGACTGAGCTCTTTTAATTAAATTCTGATTTCAATTTTGTATAATCCAATATTTGCTGTGCTTGTACATTTTAGCTCACTCCATATTTCTTGTCGTCTTAACGATACATTTTTTTAAACGTTGAACACCAGAATATCTGAAAGACACCACCGAAGAGATTGATAGAGCAACAACGTTACTTGCATCCTCCTTCTACAGCATTTAATGTTCCGAAGACTAAGATATATTTTTGTTACGATCTGAACGCGTTTTTTTTTTCACGTAAACTCAGGCATCTCAAAAAAGTATATAGTCAATTATTATATCAAATTGAAGCCCAGGAGCCGTGATTAGAGCTGAAATGAAAATCTTGAAACAATTTTTCGCGGTGTCGACAAGAACAAGAAGGAAAAAAATTCAGATTTCCAGGCTTTTCTTACCTCGTCTTTATGATGGCATAGTTCAAAAAACACAAATTTACACAAGGATATCCGGTTACTGTGCAAGTAGCACAGAATGTTCCAACCATAGAGTCTTTACCAAACTATGTTTTAGAAAAAAATTTTTCCAAATGAGTGTAGTTTTTTCTGCTTAGTGTGATAAAAAGATCTGACGTAAAAATT